TTACAAAATATATGAAAATTGAGAAAAACGTACAATAAAGACTGATAGTGCAAAAAATAGGAAGGTGTACACGGTGTCCCGGGTATACTGGATACAGACTCCGGAGGGAGTACTAAAATAAAAAATGGGACGAAGAAGGTATGTGGTTAGTATTTTCCTTGTCCATTTCGATGTGCTTCATAGTGATTATCTGGTCACTGGCCAGCAAAGCTTCCACTTAGAAAAGAAAAAACTTAGAAAACAGATAAGCAAGGTCAACGGTGATTATTACTCGCGTTACAAAGACAAAATAGAACAACGGCTCGTTGACCGGCACGCACAATTACCGATCAAGATTAATGTAATCTTTGAAGACTTCTCCTCAAAATTAATCTTCGTCTCACTTAATCTACTATATATATATATAAAGGTTTCGATCATTTTTGTATCAGCTACACTGATAAATTTCCAAAACAATTTTGTTAGACATTGGTGAATTTTCAACCCTAATCGAGCCGAATTCGAGTTATTTCCGTTTATTTTTAAATAAATTTAAAGTTAAGCTTCGTTATTTGTTCAAACTCAAATATTGTATAGATAAGCAGATATTAATTTAAAAAACGTTCATTTGATGAATTTTTTTTTGTATGTTTAATCAAATAATAATTAATTAATCTGTAGGTAATTAACAGAGAAAAGAAAGAATGGCGACGATCTTTGAAAAATGGTTATCCGTTGTGTTCATGCTGATTATCTAACCGGGTTGGACTGGTTATCCATTTTGTTTGTACTTGTTATCCAATCATATTTTTGACATTCACTCTTCAAAAAAAAAGAGAAAGAAAGAAAAAAAGATTGGATAAGCATTGCAAATAATTTGGATAATCAATAGAAAATAATTGGATAATTAGTGCAACATGTTGGATAATCAGTACAAAAAAGTTTTACAATCATTTTCATAAAAGAGCAAGGGTAAAAAAATACTGGATAACCACCACAAAGAAGTTGGATAATCAATATGAACACATTGGATATCCAGTTTAAAAAGATGGATAACCAACTTATTTTACATTCATGTTGTTATGTTCCTTGTATCTTTTGATTTATAACGAATTATAACACGAATTATATATGAAATTTATAGTGCTCGATGAGATCTATCCGATAAGGTCCATGTTGAATATTTTTTTGAACTTTAAATATATTTAAATTTTACGGGCAGAAATGAAGAAATGTGTTTTTCGTTTTTCTTTGAAAAATGGTTATCCGTTGTGTTTTTACTGATTATCCAACCGGTTTGGACTGATTATCCATTCTGTTTGTACTTTTTATCCAATTATATTTTTGACATTCACTCTTCAAAAAAGAAAGAAAGAAATAAAAAATGATTGGATAAGCATTTCAAACAATTTGGATAATCAATAGAGATGAGAGAGAAAAAAAGTCACAGAGACTAAACTTACAAAATATATGAAAATTGAGAAAAACGTACAATAAAGACTAGTAGTGCAAAAAATAGGAAGGAGTACACGGTGCCCCGGGTATACTGGATACAGACTCCGGACGGAGTACTAAAATAAAAAATGGGACGAAGAAGGTATGTGGTTAGTATTTTCCTTGTCCATTTCGATGTGCTTCATAGTGATTATCTGGTCACTGGCCAGCAAATCTTCCACTTTGAAAAGAAAAAACATAAGAAAATAGATAAGCAAGGTCAACGTTGATTATTACTCGCGTTACAAGGACAAAATAGAATAACGGCTCGTTGACCGGCACGCACAATTACCGATCAAGATTAATGTAATCTTTGAAGACTTCTCCTCAAAATTAATTTTCGTCTCACTTAATCTACTATATATATATATAAAGGTTTCGATCATTTTCGTATCAGCTACACTGATAAATTTCCAAAACAATTTTGTGAGACATTGGTGAATTTTCAACCCTAATCGAGCCGAATTCGAGTTATTTCCGTTTATTTTTCATTAAATTTAAACTTAAGCTTCGATATTTGTTCGAACTCAAATCTTGTATATATAAGCAGATATTATTTTAAAAAACGTTCGTTTGATGATTTTTTTTTTGTATGTTTAATCAAATAATAATTAATTAATCTGTAGGTGATTAACAGTGAAAAGAAAGAAAGGCGACGATCATTGAAAAATGGTTATCCATTGTGTTCATGTTGATTATCTAACCGGTTTGGACTGGTTATCCATTTTTTTTGTACTTGTTATCCAATCATATTTTTGACATTCACTCTTCATCAAAAAAAAAAAGAAAGAAAGAAAAAAAGATTGGATAAGCATTGCAAATAATTTGGATAATCAATAGAAAATAATTGGATAATCAGTGCAACACGTTGGATAATCAGTACAAAAAAGTTTGATAATCATTTTCATAAAAGGGCAAGGAAAAAAAATACTGGATAACCACCACAAAGAAGTTGGATAATCAATATGAACACATTGGATATCCAGTTTAAAAAGATAGATAACCAACTTATTTTACATTCATGTTGTTATGTTCCTTGTATCTGTTGATTTATAAAGAATTATAACACGAATTATATATGAAATTTATAGTTCTCGATGAGATCTATCCGATAAGGTCCATGTTGAATATTTTTTTGAACTTTAAATGCATTTAAATTTTACGGGCAGAAATAAAGAAATGTGTTTTTCGTTTTTCTTTGAAAAATTGTTATCCGTTGTGTTCTTACTGATTATCCAACCGGTTTGGACTGATTATCCATTCTGTTTGTACTTTTTATCCAATTATATTTTTGACATTAACTCTTCAGAAAAAAAAGAAAGAAAGAAAAAATGATTGGATAAGCATTTCAAACAATTTGGATAATCAATAGAGATGAGAGAGAAAAAAAGTCACAGGGACTAAACTTACAAAATATATGAAAATTGAGAAAAAAGTACAATAAAGACTAGAAGTGCAAAAAATAGGAAGGAGTACACGGTGCCCCGGGTATACTAGATACAGACTCCGGACGGAGTACTAAAATAAAAAATGGGACGAAGAAGGTATGTGGTTAGTATTTTCCTTGTCCATTTCGATGTGCTTCATAGAGATTATCTGGTCACTGGCAAGCAAAGCTTCCACTTTGAAAAGAAAAAACATAAGAAAACAGATAAGCAAGGTCAACGTTGATTATTACTCGCGTTACAAGGACAAAATAGAACAACGGCTCGTTGACCGGCATGCACAATTACCGATCAAGATTAATGTAATCTTTGAAGACTTCTCCTCAAAATTAATTTTTGTCTCACTTAATCTACTATATATATATATAAAGGTTTCGATCATTTTCGTATCAGCTACACTGATAAATTTCCAAAACAATTTTGTGAGACATTGGTGAATTTTCAACCCTAATCGAGCCGAATTCGAGTTATTTCCGTTTATTTTGAATTAAATTTAAACTTAAGCTTCGATATTTGTTCGAACTCAAATCTTGTATACATAAGCAGATATTATATTAAAAAACGTTCATTTGATGATTTTTTTTTGTATGTTTAATCAAATAATAATTAATTAATCTGTAGGTGATTAACAGAGAAAAGAAAGAATGGCGACGATCTTTGAAAAATGGTTATCCGTTGTGTTCATGCTGATTATCTAACCGGTTTGGACTGGTTATCCATTTTGTTTGTACTTGTTATCCAATCATATTCTTGACATTCACTCCTCAAAAAAAAAAAATAAAGAAAGAAAAAAAGATTGGATAAGCATTGCAAATAATTTGGATAATCAATCGAAAATAATTGGATAATCAGTGCAACACGTTGGATAATCAGTACAAAAAAGTTTGATAATCATTTTCATAAAAGAGCAAGGAAAAAAAAATACTGGATAACCACCACAAAGAAGTTGGATAATCAATATGAACACATTGGATATCCAGTTTAAAAAGATGGATAACCAACTTATTTTACATTCATGTTGTTATGTTCCTTGTATCTTTTGATTTATAAAGAATTATAACACGAATTATATATGAAATTTAGAGTGCTCGATGAGATCTATCCGATAAGGTCCATGTTGAATATTTTTTTGAACTTTAAATGCATTTAAATTTTACGGGCAGAAATGAAGAAATGTGTTTTTCGTTTTTCTTTGAGAAATGATTATCCGTTGTGTTCTTACTGATTATTCAACCGGTTTGGACTGATTATCCATTCTGTTTGTACTTTTTATCCAATTATATTTTTGACATTCACTCTTCAAAAAAAAAAAGAAAGAAAGAAAAAATGATTGGATAAGCATTTCAAACAATTTGGATAATCAATAGAGATGAGAGAGAAAAAAAGTGACAGGGACTAAACTTACAAAATATATGAAAATTGAGAAAAACGTACAATAAAGACTAGTAGTGCAAAAAATAAGAAGGAGTACACGATGCCCCGGGTATACTGGATACAGACTCCGGAGGGAGTACTAAAATAAAAAATGGGACGAAGAAGGTATGTGGTTATTATTTTCCTTGTCCATTTCGATGTGCTTCATAGTGATTATCTGGTCACTGGCCAGTAAAGCTTCCACTTTGAAAAGGAAAAACATAAGAAAACAGATAAGCAAGGACAACGGTGATTATTACTCGCGTTACAAGGACAAAATAGAACAACGGCTCATTGACCGGCACGCACAATTACCGATCAAGATTAATGTAATCTTTGAAGACTTCTCCTCAAAATTAATCTTCGTCTCACTTAATCTACTATATATATATAAAGGTTTCGATCATTTTCGTATCAGCTACACTGATAAATTTCCAAAACAATTTTGTGAGACATTGGTGAATTTTCAATCCTAATCGAGCCGAATTGGAGTTATTTCCGTTTATTTTTAATTAAATTTAAACTTAAGCTTCGATATTTGTTCGAACTCAAATCTTGTATATATAAGCAGATATTATTTTAAAAAACGTTCATTTGATGATTTTTTTTTGTATGTTTAATCAAATAATAATTAATTAATCTGTAGGTAATTAACAAAGAAAAGAAAGAATGGCGACTATTTTTGGGAGAATATTGAGAGGGATAAAGCATGCGAACAAGGCCGTGATGAAGCTGAGGATGGCGGAGAAACCAGTGGTGAAAACGATCCCTACGGCGGCGGTCTATGACGGTTTCCTCCCCGTCCCGGTGGCCGAGATGTTAAAGCATCCGGACGAGGTGTTGCCGGCGTTGAAGCTGGCGATGGCGGAGAGGCGCGTGGCGAAACAGATTCCCATAGCGCCGTCGCATTGGGCATTCTGTCACGCGATGCTTCCAAAAGTTTCTAAAACCTTCGCTCTTCACATTTCTCAGCTGGGTTCCGACCTTCGTGACGTGGTACTTTTTTTGAACTCACTGTTTTATTTTATTATTTTTTAATTTTCCATTTCCCATCTTTTTTTTAGGACTTTACTCTAAAAAGTAGACCTTCCACAAATTCCAGATGGCTTAGGGCGAACCTAAGTCTAAGGAGATTTGGAAATAGTTTTTCAACCAATAATAGACGAGTTTCAGTTGTTTCAAATATATTCTGTCTCATTTTATTAATCAATTTTATACTGATTAGAACTTGTAAAATTAGATATTAGTTTATACTCGTACATGAGCAAAAACTGGCATTAATCTTTGTGCGGATAACTCTTATGATTATCTGATTATCCATATGGTGATGCGAATTCAATTATTAAATTGTCACCTCTATTATTATTATTATTATTATTATTATTATGTCCTTTTCTAGGGATGTCTCTACTATTTGGTTCTCAGGGCAATGGATACTGTTGGTACGTTTTTTGTTTACTCTTTTTCTATTCTTTTTTTTTCTTGCGTATATTAACAAACACTCAATTATAAATAGAACAAACGATATATATTAATTGATGAAAATTTATATAGAATATGAGCTTAATTGTCATACAGTTTAATGGCTTAAATTTCCAATTGTTTTGTGTTTGGACAGAGGATGATATGAGCTTAGATGCAGAGGTTAAAGTACCCATTATATTGGCTTTTCATCGTCACATATACAATCCAGATTGGCATTTCTCATGTAAGCTATCCAGGTTCTATATTTTCCCCTCTTTTTCACTATGTCTATGAATCATTTCGGGACGGTCTTATATATTGAGCATTTTGTCACTTTCTTTTCTTTTTCCTTTTTGTTTTTGTGAAAAAAGATTTGTGCTCTAAAACTGAAATAAATTTGCGTACCCTCGTAAGGTAATTTTGTTCTTTTTTTTCTCCGTTTTGGTATGTGCTCTCTGATCATATGTTATAGACAACTCTAATTCGGTACAACCTGAATCATTGGTTAAATTTTTTGTTTTCTGCCAAATGAAATAATATGATTAGGGATTGCTTTTTTTTGACTGTTATTGAGAATTTTTTTTTTTTTTTTTGGCTTTCTAAAGATAAAATTGGATTGCAAAATTTGAATCTTCCCGCCTGAAACTGTTATTGACATATTTGACGCGACCAAATCCGGCTGGAAAAGTATTAAATCAGACCGAATAGAAAGCAACCACATTAATCTAGTGAATCAAATCTTAGTACCAGCTCTCTGTTCTAAACACTCAATTTAAACTATATTTTTTTTGACAAATGATTATTAACCTAAACTTTCTGATAAAGTTTAATTTAATATTTCCAACGTTGTCTTATTCTTATTAATTAGGTGGTACAAAGGATGACAAAATTTTGATGGATCAATTCCGTCACGTTACTACTGCATTGTTGGAGCAAAAGAGCAGGTGTATTTCATTCTCATCTGTTTAAGATAAATTGCACTCTCGTCGTACAAAAATAGTATTCTATCTTATTATCATACAAAAGTAATTGAGGTTTTTTTTTTTTTTCAGGTACATGAAATGGTGTATTTAGTTAATAGGATTTTTTTGAACTCGTGATTCCATAAATATTAACTGAAATTTTCTTTTACATCTGATGCACGAACAAAAAAAAAAACTCTTGATTTGATAACAGTTATCGGGACATATTTGAGGAAATTACCAAAAGAGGAGGTGCTGGAATTGCGAAATTCGTCGGAAAGGAGGTATGGAAACTGCTGGAAAAACATTCTTGTCATGAACATCGTGTAGAAATGAATAGAGATCAATTATCGATAGCTATTCGCTCTTCTAAAAAAATAGTCTAATTTATTTTATGGCTTTAGTATCCCTACAATCAGACTGCCCTAGCCAAGATATATGAATGTGACAAAATTGGTTCAAGCCAACAAAAATGATTTATAAAAAAAGCTCTAAAAAGACTACGATTTGAATCGAACAAGAATTAGTCTAAATATATCCCGATACCATCTATATATTGCACGTTTTGGTGTACCATGCATGCACCCCAACCCCAAAGTTGTCAGTTGTAATAACTTTTTTTTGTTTTTTGGAAAATAGTTATACCAACTATTAAGGAAATAGTATAGACATTTTTGTTTTTATTTTTTGGTTGAGAAAATCATCTATAATCCACTTAAAATATACTTCCTCTGTCCCAAAATTATTGTCTAGTTTGAGATTTTACTTTTGGTACAATTTGAACTAAAAATGAAAACCCAAATTGAATAATAATTATGGGACGGAGGGAGTAATATTTTTTTCCGTTTAATTATCTCTTGAAGATTGAGACAATTGATGACTATGAAGAGTACTGCCACTATGCAACTGGAATTCCGGGCATTGGATTTTCTAAGCTTATGTATGCATCTGGAAAAGAAGATTTGGTTCCGGAGTCTCTTTCAAATTCTTGGGGAATGATTGTTCAGGTATGGAGTAATTTTCGTGGAAAAAATAAAGCTACATTTTCAGCACATCGACATATCATGGACTCTAAAGATGTGACTATCTTTTTTATTTACAAGAAATTTGTTACAGCTATGGTATGAATGGTTCAATTATAATCCAAAATTTACCATGATTTTTTTATAAATAAAAATTGCAATCTGAGACATTTGAATTATTTACTAAACCAATCAATCAGACACTTAAGAATTTCTCTTTAACTTCATGTCCTGAATCTCTGAACTATGCAGAAAGCAAGTGGAATCAGAGACTATCTAGAGGACATAAATGAGGTTCCAAAGCCACGCATCAATTGGCCCCGGGAGATATGGGGCAAATATGCAAGCAAATTTGAGGTTGAGGTCTCATCCTTGTTTTTTTTTAGAATGCTTTATTGTGTGTTTTATTAATTTTACAGTATTAAAATGTTGGATGTCAAATGTACTATTTAAAAGCTTTGACGATAAAAAAAATGCACTCTGAAAATGAAATTATAAAACTTTTTTATTATCCTTCCATCACAAAGACTAGAGTTACTAAATGCTTTAAAAGTTCTTCCAGCGAAAAGAGTCTTATCCATGTAGTTTTGTTTCTCACCTTTAAAATCAGATTGGCCTTGCACTAATATAAGCAATTTAATTTTTTTATTTGTTATTTATAAACAAACATTTAGATATCCAGAAAATCTCCCATGTGGTGAGAACAAACTTTTGAGTTTTGACCAGCATGTTAATTTGTTTTCAATGCCTACACTTAAAATTAAGACTACAAGTAGAAAAAAAAATTGAGATAAAAATTTTACAATTTCTTTCAGAAAAAAATTATTAACCAAAAACATATACAGTATCTTTGCTTCCTCCGATTCATCGATCTTTGTATCTTATTTTTTCTATATTAATAAAATCGGAAGATGTTCCTCAAATACCATTCTAAATCTTCTTTAAAAACACGTTTCATTAGGATCTAATCCCATTTGCTACGTACTAGCTACATTTTGTCAACATCTCTTTAGTGCGAATTAAGTTGTTAATTTGTTTTGACGATTTTGCTAACAGGATTTAAAATATGAAGAGAATTCAGCCATGGCTGTCCAGTGCTTGAATGAAATGGTCACAAATGCTTTGATTCACATAGAAGATTGCCTCAAGTTCTTGTCTACTTTACGAAGTCCGGCTGCCTTTCGGTTTTTTGCTATCACTGCGGTATACCTCTTTAGTCATAAGTAAGTACTAATTTTTATTTTCTATAGCTGAAATATCTTACAAAATTTAATTAAGAAGAAGCAAAGTTACTGAAGATTCATATTATTTGTTATTAATCAGATCGTGTCAATGGGAAGATTAGCAACATACTATAACAACGTTGAAGTCTTCAGAGGTAAAGTTGAAATGAGGCAAGGTAAGTCTTACTTAATACACTTGGAATCATTAGCTCTAATTCTTATTCATATACTCCCTCATCCCAAAAAAATAAAATAAAATAAAATCCTTAAATAACGTGTTTATTGAACTTAAATTGTTACAATCATGAATTTACGTTGGTGATGAATCCCTTTTTAATTTTTTTAATTTCTTATTTTTTTTGAATTTCAGGTCTCACTGCTAAAGTTTTTGACAACACCAAATCAATGGAAGATGTATATGGTGTATTTTACGATTTTGCTTCTTTACTGATGTCTAAGGTAAGTGCAATGTAATTACCCTTTTATTTCTTTGCGTTACGAGTTTAGGATACAATTAATTTCAGCCTACAAATAATCATTTAGGACATACGTTCTAGTATCACTAGGAAAGCCTTTCTATCCTTTTACCCTTTTATTTCTTTTATTAAAATAATAAAAATCGTTATGTAACATCCTTAAATCTCTCAACTCATTACATATTTAATTATTTTAAATTGTTCGAAGTTTCACCTAGTATGTTTTTATTATATGGTACTCGCTCCGGTTTTTATTATAAAAAAATTTTAGTTTGTCCTAAGTTTCACCAAGTACATTTTTTCGAATTGAGAAAAAACTTTAAGATCACATTTTCACATTAATTGTGTTCTCTTAATTATTAAGAAATATTTTTTAAAAAAAAAAAATTGATTGAAAAATATAATAGGTGATACTTAGAACAAATCAAAATATCTTATAATAACGGAGGGAGTATCAGAGTTCGCGAATATTGAACATACTGTATTTTCTGTAGATTGAAGACAATGATCCTAATGCTAAAGATACGAGAAGCAAGGTGAAAGTCATTTTGAATGCCTGCAAAGACTCGGGAGCTCTCAATAAAAGGTTTGTGATTAGCTTAGTATTCGTATAATATATGTCTGCATATGAATCTCATGAACCTGTATAATACTCCCCCAGTTTTAGAAAAATAGTTAAATTTGTTGTATTTTTTTATTTACGCAAAGTAGAATATATATATTTTTTTTGGATGGAGTGAATAACAACAGTTCGTTGACATTCCCATGTATTAATGTTTTGCAGGACTTGGCTTTTCTAATGAACATGATGAAGTCATTTAGGTTCTGTCAGATGAAGCTGATGTTGGTCCATTTCATAAAATGTAATGCTTGAGAGTACAATTATTAAGTGTTTTGACTCTAAAGGATTCTGTATCTTTATAGAAACATCGAAATTCCGGTGGCTTTTACTTGTCATTCAAAATCATAATGGATTTGATTAAATGGTTGTTATGGCTTCAATACAAGTACGCCGTGATTCTATCGTGTCTATTTTTTGCACGATGCCAATATCACCAACTTCAATTGCTAGCATGCAAACTACATTTGTTTTTATAATTAGTCGTCAATCATGTAGGAAATGCTATTTGAGTACTTTTGTAACGATTTCTAACAAAACTTATGGTATTGGTACCGGACTAAGTCGTGTTGCAAATACTTTTTCGTCCCTAGATTAGTTAGTAGGGTTCGGACTAAGTCGGTTGTAGATTGTACAAGTCTTTTAAGTTTTTTTACCAGCTTTTATATATTCTCTGCGTCCTGAAATTAATGATCAATTGTTTTGTTTGAATTCTTATTTTTACTAGTAACTCTTTCTGTCTCAAAAATATTATATAGTTGTATTTTCACTTTTAGTTCATTTTGTATTAAAAATAAAAATCCAAATCGGAGAATAATTTCGGAATGCAAGGAGTACAAGTTATACTAAAATAAAATTTTAAACATGGCCATCATTTCAGGATGAAACAAAGTATATAAGTGATTATTCAGGATGTTTGTCCTATGGATGTTTATTTAGCTGGGAAAGGGCAAGGAAGAGCTCAAAAGTGACGTGAACCGTCTGTACTAAGCGCAATGTTAGCATTCTTTTTCTTTAATTTTTTCGTCCATTTTACATTTCCGACACCATTTTTTCATATAGCCATTGAAAAAACTGACACTAATTATATAGAACGGAAATACCAGCATCGTAACTCAATCGCACATCTCACAGCTACTTTCAGAGAATGGCCAAGTTTAGCACAAAATAAACCCATAAAGAATCACTTTAACATGCAGAGAAAGCATTTCAATTCAAAATCCATTAAAAAAAAAATTACACTCACAACAAAAGAAGAAGACCAGCACCATAGAAATTAGAAGAAGATGGAAACTATTAGTATTAAATTCTAGGTTTGGTGTTCTGATCAGTAAAAATCCATGCAAGTGAAATATGCCTCCCCGTCTCAAAATTAATATATAATTTCGATTTCAATTTTAGTACAAACTAGACAATAATTTTGGGGGCGGAGGGAGTATAATTTTTGAATGCCAAAGTTTCATACAGCACCATTTGATATGCGCGATTCACATCCTAGCGCAGATTTCTAAACTAAGAGGGGGCGTTTTCGGATCGAACTTGCCAAACATTTCGATGGCCGGATCCATGGCGGATTTTCACATTTTATCCATGGATCCAACCATCCTATGTGAATTACATTTTCTAATCAAGTAACACCATGGATGGTTTGATCCAAATGGAGGAAGAGGCCAAATAATCTTTACATCCATGAAGTCCTTCGCCGGAGAAACGACCATCATAAGAGTGATATTTCTTGGTGGTTAAGGAATAGAATACCCCATCTTTTCCATGAAATTCCGGGAAGTAGATCTTGTTACCCATCAAGGGTACAGTAGCTCTTGTCCAGAAATATGCAGTATCACTATCAAAAACCATAATGCCACTTAGGTTTTCAACTCGAACCCATATATTTTCAGCAGGGTTGAAACCGTAAACCCAAACTTTCGTACCATTATGGCTAAGAATAACAGCATAAATCTCCGGCCCGTCTTCTTCTCCTCCTGCAGCTAAAAAGCTCAGATTCACCAATTTCTGATCCAAATCCAAAAATCCAACCGTCCACGAACTAAAGTCAAATTTGACTCTTTGTTCAGGACTATAAATACCCAAACGACCTTTCACATCCAAGAGGTAATACTGATTGTTTTGGTAAACAATTGCCACTGGAAATTGCTCCGAAATCATCCAGCTTCCGAAAGGTGTGATATTCATCCATTTTTTCGTCTTTTATCGTACCAACTACGAAGCGATCAGGGTTATTCTCATCTCGAAAAATCACAGTGAGTTGCCAATGAGAACTTGTTGGTTTGAAGGGAATTGTTAAAGTTTCAATGTGGAGAAAAGGGAGTTTCGGTACTCGGATTTTGATCCGTTGGCTTGTAAACTGGTTGAAGAAGAAGAAGGAAGGTTTTTGAGTTTTGGTAGACATGATTAACCATCCATGGTTGGAACAGCGGATTTTGGCTTGTCTAAGCTCGGGAATGACGACGTTGTACCAGGAGTTATAGGCAAAATCGAACATCCAAGAAGTGGTTCAATGAAGTTTATGATGTAAAATTAATTTTGGACAGGAAAAGTGTAGAAGTCCTTCGGAGGTTTCAAAAGTTAAAGGAGGATTCTGAATGGATTTGGTGGCTTGGCATATAGCATTGAAGGCTAATCTATCTCCTACAAAGAGATGGTTTCGTATCAAACACAAAATCTCCTCAGGTAAACGGGAGAAATAATCACGGCCACCACCCGAAGGCGATGAGGGCGGTAAAATTGTTTTGGCTGCCATCGTCGATGGAGTTGGTCGATGGAGTTGGAATACCCACAGAGCTCGTGATTAAAATACTTGTCGAGAGGATCCAAAGGCCTACCCTGCTTGTGCTTGAATTCAAATTGATCAGAATTTCGAATTCGGACCGGGTGTAGTATACCAAAGGGGAAAAACAAAAAGTTCTTAATTTCTCTCTTAGATTTTTAAAATCATTGTGTGCAGCAAATTAGCTGCTCCTCTTTTTGTAACGCAAATACTATCACCTTTCGATTTTGTTGACACTTTCCTCTTTTCTTTTTTTTTTTTCTTTTTTTTGGTTATATGGGATATTTGCTCGTTGAATCAAACTTCTTTGATAGGAATACCTCAATATATATATATATATATATATATATAGTCATATAGAGGAGATTGGGGACCTGTTTCCCCTTTATAATAGAATTGTCGAAATTGTAGTTTCTTACAAATTAAATTGTTTTAGTCATTTTTCTTTGCCCGAAATAGGCACTCTTGCTTCAAATCCATTTAAACTATGGTTTCCTCTTTGGTACGCCAGTTTTGACCAAAAGCGTAAAGACAATGTCCAAAGACCTCCAAACCTTTGATAGAGAAATCAGGGATAGAGTCTGAGGGATTTTGTCTCTATCAATTTGTTGACTTCCTCGTAACGTTTGGTGATCATTTACTTCAATCAGGGTTATATATGTTTTAATTTCTTGACTCAAGTTTACAGACAGTCTCTTTCATTTGTGATAGATTACCTTAAGTGTTGAATCCTTATTTTCTCTCGTTAGTTGTCAACTGTCAACAACCTTAATTTGCAAAACTGAATTAAGATCAGGGATCAGATAACTGTGTTGATTTCTGAAAAAATTTGTTGCATAACTGTATAAGTTTGTACAGAACAAATACTATGATTTCATCTATGTACACGAAATTGTATGTGTTTCTCTAATGGTTGAGAATGTTGAGAAGTGAAACTCTGGTTTTGACCAAAAGCCTGAAAACATTGTCCAAAGAGTTTTGATTACTTGAACGACATCGCCATCCTTGCAAGACTTCAACTCAGATTGTACCTTCTGGATCGAAGGAAAGATCTTTAGTGGATGATTTGTTTTGTTGGGAAAATGACTTCCCTGCCTTTGATGGAGAAATCAAAGAGAAAGTTGACTCCAACACATTAGCGCTGACTTCTTGGACTTGTTGCATTAGATTCACAAGCTCTGTTGATGATTCTTTCTTAGCCACTGCTAAGTTCTTGATTTCTGAGTAACACTAGGTGATCATTTTGCTCAGTTGCTTTTTAGACATTTGATATGTTCGAATTTTCTTGTCTGAATCTCCACAACTTTTCCTTCACAGAGATGACTCGAGTTCATAGACGACTTCCTTCATCTGTGAATAGATGTCTCTCACTGAGCTACATATGTCCAGCAAACTGATTGATCCATTCAAGACATTAGGGGAGAGAGCTTGTTGGCTAAAGGGCAGTTGAAGCATATTATCAACGTATTCGTATAAGTTTCTTAAGCCATCCAATTTCTTGCATGCCAAAGTATGTGAAGATGAAGAGGATGCCTCGGCTAATGATCTCAACCTTTGCAGATGTTCCTCAACATTTGTGATGAGACGATGAGATTGCGAATGCAAGCTAATGGATCAAGCGTGGCTGGAAAGCTTGGCCATTTTCTTTTTCTTCTTGAGAAGGAATGAGATTGCTTAGATCTGAATGTGGAAATGTTGATAAATCATTCTTTCCAACCCATGTATGTATATAGGAAAGTCAATGACGAGTCCATATCCACGAAAGATTATCGGACCGACCCATCTGCCAATTAGGGCCTAACCGACCTTACAGAGGCGGTTCAGGAATAAGAACCCTAGTAGGATTCGGCTTCCCTCAAGGTAATTCCATGCCTATAAATAGGGTTGATCTCACCACAATTGAGGTACTCTCTAGCTCCAGTAATCACATACACACTTCTTCAGAACCCTATTTTTTGACTTAAGCATTGGAGTGTCTACCCTCGGGAGACCCCCGAGGCTCTATTTTGTAGGAAACCCTATCGGAGTTCCACTGTTAAGCCGGTGATACGGGCTTCATCAAGTGGCATGTCCAGTGGGACCCAAAGACTAGGGTTCGTGTCTCAAAGCTTTGTTAAGCTTCCTAGACTTTTTCAACTGTTAATCACCATAGCAAATTAGGGTTCACCCCCAAAAAAGATGGTTGTAATCGACAACCCCAATCCAGCACGGCGTCACCAGGCAGGCAACCAAACCCTGATGACAACGAAACCCTGGCAAAATTCTAGGAGAAGCACAGGCGAAAGAAGAACACCCGCCAGTCACGAAAAGAAGAAACTCCCACGAGACTATCCAATCCTGGGGAAAAAAGGGAGGAGAACCCTAGCAATCATCGCAAAGCACCCAATCCACATGATAAAGCACGGTTGGCTGAAATCGAAGCAGAACTCAAAAAGTTGTGAGACGATAACAGTCTCAATCAGAGGAAGAAGAAGTATATGTGGGAAGAATACCCACACTATTGTTTGCTCGGTCAACCTGACCCATTAGACCAAGAGTTGCAAGATTTAATCAACGAGAAAGAGGCACGCAGGACATTGGCTTTGCTCGAGAAGAAGAAAGGCAAACGCAAAGTCCCAAGCGAGGAAACCGAGAGCGCCTATAGAGAGACCCCTAACCGCAAAATCTCTCGAGAAGAACACTCAATTGATCGTAGCACAGCCTTCTGGGGTTCCTTTGAACGGGCATAACCTGCATTCCCGATAGCACTCGAGGAGTTTGCCAAAGAACGACAACGCAGGAAACAGTCTCGTACCAATCATTGCCACGACTAACCTAGTATCGAGATGGTGTTTGGAAAAGACTGGAACCCCCAAAAGCTAACGTGCATTCTTGTCTGGGACCCAAAGTTCCTCTGCCAAGAGCCCACCTTGATAATGATGACGCCTATCGGGCCCTTCCTCGAGGTACATATTATTCTCGTGGAGGTCGTTACCTAGACGACCATTATGGCCCACGGCATTCTCTTCAGCCTCGACACACCGAGTGGAGGTCGTTTCCTTGATGTCAGAAGGAATATGGCAATCAGAACCTGTCCGTTCGAGAATCAATGAGAAGAATGATAGGAATGATTGTCGACAGAAGTCCGTTCATACCAAGGATTTGTGACTGTCCAAAACCCTGAGACTTTGACTTCCCCAAGGATTTCGTAAAGTACTCAGGAGACTCCGACCCACAGCAATTCTTGCATGGATATGTCCAAGTCATGAGAATCCGTAACTCATCACTTGCTTTTATGGCTAAAGCCCTTCCATCCTATCTCACTGGACAAGCAAAACAGTGGTTTGGTCAGTTGCCGGAAGCAAGTATTACCAGCTTCGAGGACTTGTCAGTCAAGTTGGCCACACGCTTCTTTCCAAGCAAGCAGATCACAAGGATGTCAATCAAACTTTCGAGTAAACAAGGACAAAACAAAAGCCTTTCTGATTTCCACCGTCGTTTCACCGGAGAAACTCTCCAATTTGATTGCCTCAATGATAGAGACGTGCGAAATAGATTCATTCAGGGTCTTAACCCATTCAGGAAATATGCTACTTTGAGGGTGAAATTGTCTACAAAACCTCCTCAGAATACACAGGAGATGTGGGCCATGGTGGAAAGTTACATCTAGCAAGAACAGACACTTAAACGCTCACAGGAATCCTTCTTGAAGTAGGACATCGAGGCGGAAGGGACAGGCTCAAGTCTACGATAGAAGCCAAACCGGCACTGCCTAAGCTCGACAGACAACTGACTCCACTGTTGAAGCCTCGACGAGAAATCCTCCTAATCCTCAAGGACGAGCTCTCTATTCCAAAGCCCTTGGCTCCCAATCCTAATAGGTCCATGGACCAGTACTGTGAGTATCATAAAGATCACGGCTATGACACTGAAGATTGTAGGGAGTTAAAACGAGAAATCGATGCTGGAGTAAAGTCTCGGAAATTTCAATAGTATGTACAAAATGCTTCTCGACAAAAGGGATGAAAGTTCACGGGACCCCATAACTTTCCTAAGAAAAACCCCCGCGGCCCTCGAGTGGATAGCTGAGGGAAATAACTAGACACCAAGACACATGACACAGCAATCCGCTCAGCAACCCCTCGACGGCGGTCCTCAACCACTCCAACAAGTCCCCCCACCCGATCTTGCTAAGTAGATTACTCACAATGTGGGGGCAATCTATGGTGCGTCACTCGAGGTTCTCTCTACAACAGCTATGAAGGAATTAGTTCATGAGGTAACTAAATGCCTCCAAAAGAACCCAACCATAAACAGTTCAAGAGAACCGAGGCAATAGTCTTTACAGACGGTGACATAGTCCCAGGCATCTGTCCACACAATGACACGATGGTTATTGAAGCCATTATAGGAAATATTCACGTGA